AATTGCTGCCGAAGCACGTCAGGATCGAGGGTGTGCGACTTTCGGCACAGGGCGCACGAGGACATTTTTTGTTCAGCAGCCGCCTTTAGACATTGACGACAAAAGGTGTGTCCTGAAGGTGCGAAGGAAGGGATAATTGAACATGAATGACCATATAAGAATGGAACGCCCCTCTTCTGCGTCCACGCCCCCTCTCACACCGCATGGCATACAGCTCAGAATTCCATCCATTCATGCACATTCTTCGTCTTCCGCACATGACTCGAGAACGTAAAAGATGCTCTTCCCGCCCTGTTTACCTACCACACGACAACTGGATGCTATTTTCCGATGTCTCGAGGCATATCGGGCACGAGTGCGGCTCGGCCTTTACAGTGAGGCCGTACCGCTTGCAGATCCACTGAAAAAAGTAAGTCGTGGGATCATTGAGACGACTCAAGTAAAAGACGTCATCTTGAGGCTCCAAGGCGTCCCCGTCCTCCACTGACGCGGCCTGATCCACTGAAGTTGCGGCGTGCGCAGCACAAGGGGTGGAAGAGCATGAGCAGGTCGCGGCAAGGAGGCGGGTACTTGTGCCAAACCGCGGAAGAGACATGTCATCCGAAAAGTGGATGTTAGACGCCACCAAGAAAAGCGATTCCGTGGCTGCCGCCATAGTTGTGGTGTGTTGGAGCGCAAAGAAGCACCTGCGAGACTTGGTGGTTAGGAATTTCTACTTTCCCGTAAATTACGGCTGTTTGTGGCTGGTCCTCAACTGTGCCAGCGCCTGCGCAAGTGTAAGATTTGTAATGAAAATGCATAAGTTGAGCATTGAGAGATATATATGGCCTGTTTCGCGGGCACGTGAAGGAACAAATCGTGCAACTTGGCAATGAATCACGTTGATTCAATGGCGAGAGAAAAGGGGGAGCTCATCCCGGCGCGGCGTGACAGCGGCGTCAGCCATATGGAGGGGACCACACACGAGAACCTAGCAGGCACCTTTCTCTTCCCCCTCCACTACATCAATTCCCTCTACGCATCAATCAACCACACGACCCAACCCATGCGATGGACCTGCGGAGCCCCCGGCACGCCTACAAGCCCACGGACAATGTGCTCAAGTGCACCCCGCGGGGTTCTGAGCCCCGAATCTTTCAGAAAGTTTCGGGGCAACCGTTTAAAAACCGTTTAAACCGTCGAATGACTGGACCCGAGGCATGACGAGCATCACGCAACGAGGATGCGGCGCTTTCCTGTGGCCTTTATTCCCCCCCTGCTCACATAGACTATGGAACGGAGTGAAGGTGCTGGATGGACCATGCAGTTTGAAAATAAAGTGTGCCGATGTATTCACGGGAGATTCATCTTCCTGTCCTTGCCTGCGGGTTGGCCGTCAGCACAGATCGCGAAATCGAACATGGAGCGATTGCGGACTTTGTGTGCTTCGCTTCTCCTGGTTGCGGTCCTACCGGCTGTGTTTGGCCCAATGGAGGGCGAAGGGCGAGACGGCAGAGCAACGATGTAGTGGCGGAGTTGTGGTGCATCATTTGCAAGAAGCCGGAATACTAGCCTCTCAAGCCTTACATTCGAGACCGAGGAAAGATTTGTGGGGGAAAAGTGCCTTCACCGCTTTTGGTTATGTTTCGTGCTGTGTGTGGTGGCGAGGCATGTTTCGTCCCTTCGCCTCGCATGTCACGCTCCTCATTTGTCTTTTATATTACGACGACTGACACGATCACCATTTTACGCACAGGAGTGCTCCTTTCGTGTATAGCTAGCTTCATAAAGGCATTCCAATCGCAGAAATGGCACCAACGGTGAGTTATGAGAAATTTTAGATGGAGGAAAGGAAAGGTGGGACCTCGCAGGCGGACTGCACAGGTGTTGTGCACATTTGTCTCTCTAGTTTGATGGTTTGGATGAAGATATAGTGTCTGCGTTCGCAAGGCGCAAGTATCAAGCTCTAGGGATGGGTACTTGATAAAATTATCGGGCATGAGGACAGATCGTGGGTCTGTGTGTATGTCCGTGCGCACTCTTCTATGATCAGCTTGGTCGGGCCTCACATCGTCGGCATGATCGCCGCCCTTGGCACGCTTTGCTGGTTTCTCCATGCAAAGAGAGACGGAGGCACGGAGGGAGGAGCGCGAGTGGAGGAGGTGTACAGATCAGGCGGGTCGTGAAGGTCGGGAACGGAGCCTGCCGGAGGTGTGGCGCGGCCCACTGCCGCTTTAAGGCAGTTTCGGCGGCACTATGTCTTCTCTCTCGTGTCAGGCGCATTTGTGTGACTGCGCTACATATTTTCCCTCCTCCTGTGTACTTACATATCTCAAATCTAACCCCTTCCGGTTCGACAGAAGCTCGGCGCGAAGGGGAGGAAAGGGAGCAAGAAGAACCAGGTCAAGTTCACGATCGACTGCAGCGACCCGGTGAAAGACGGGGTCTTAGACATGGCCAACTTCGAGAAATTCCTCAAGGACCGAATCAAGGTAACAGTTGTCTCTCCCTCTTGCTCCCTTGCTCCCTCTGCCGTGCTCCTCCTTTTTTATCCCAACCGGCCCTCGTTCCGGAAAAGAAACTTTCATCTTCGCTTATGCCTCCCCTCCCTCCTTCTTTCACTTTTCATCGACTCCTGTCTCAGGTCAATGGCAAGGCCGGCGTGCTCGGAGACGCCGTGGCGGTCGCGCGGGAGAAGAGCAAGATCCAAGTCACTGCCGAACTGCCCTTCTCAAAGCGGTACTTAAAGTACCTGACCAAGAAGCACCTGAAGAAGCAGCAACTCCGCGACTACATGCGTGTGGTGGCGACGAACAAGCAAACCTTCGAGTTGAAGTACTACACAGTCACGGACGAGGGGGGTGAGGACGAGGAGTAAGGAGAAGGAGGGGGGCGAAGGGCGGGGAGAGGAGGTGGGCTGGTGATGCGGTCGAGGGGGGCGAATGCTGCTCGGTATCTGTCTCTTCGCACGGCTCGCGGCGGTGGCGGGAGAGAAGAGGATTGAAAGAGGATTGAAACAGAGGCAAAGCAACCAAGCACGGCCTCGGCTTTACTGTCTGCCCGAAGTTTCTTTTTTAAAGCGGAAATGTCCTAGGCTCTCCTGCAACCACACAGGGACGTGGAGGGCGGGAGACCGTGACAGGATAGGACGGTGCCTGAGACTTCTCGAGAGGACGCAGTGCATGGCGAAGGTTCTCAAGCCCTTCCTCGCTCCGCAGAACATGCTTGTTGTGCGTACCAGACCCCATTCCCTCATCCCACCGCGTCGTACACCACGGCCCTTGTTCAAGCATTTCTTTAGCAAGCCACCGCACTCGGAGACGCAGGGAGACCCCCGGCGCAACCCTTCCCCGTTCCCCCACTACCACAACCCCTGCACGGTCCTGGTGCTATCGCCTTGCCACCGATTCACCCAGCCCTGGTGGTATCGCCATGCCCTCTCCCTGCCTCCTCACTCACCGCCTCCACACCCCGTGTCTCCCTTCTGCCGCCCCAACACACCACGCCCGGCTTCTCTTCTCGGATTCATCCACTCCCTCCCCCACCGCGTCATTCCGTTACCACCCCCCTTCGCATCCCAACGGGCCTGCATCTCCTCTCGGGCCAA